TTCTAAGTGAGGCTTGTGAAGGTGGGGGCAGGACAGATAGGGTTTCCCCAGTGAGGGGGGAAAGATCCATCACGTCAATCCTCAGATTTTGAAAACATATTTAAACTTATCACAAGCAGGTAAACCTGAGAGAACTGTAACTACTAACAACTTACATTTTAAGTTCTGGGTGAACAGAAAAAAAAATCTGTACTATTTCAAGTGGTGGGCAGGTATCACTAGGATTTCCTGTTTCCATGGCGAGTACTTATCATTAGAATACATTTTCTGAATTTCCAAGACCATGAACACTGGCTTAGGTTCTTCATGTCATTTCTTCACTTAAAGAAGGTATATTTTTTCTCAAAAGTCCTGGGCACAAGAATTTTTTCCAAGCCAAGCAATTAAGCCCTGCCCAGGACAGATCAGGATGAGAAAGGTAAAACAGGCTTATTAAATTCTCAGGGGAGTGTCTTTTGTGCTAACAGAAAGATCAGTGACTGTTTTAAAGTTGAGCCTAAGTGCTGAGGATCTTCCTTTTTAAGAAACATCCATTTGTTGTTCCAAATTTTTATTTTATTTTTATTTTTAAAGAATAGTTTGTTGAATTTTGGAGATACAGGAAGGGTGAGGGAGAGAGAAAAACACTGATGTGAGAGCCCAACATTGATAGGCTGCCTCCTGCACGCTCCCACTGGGGATTGAGTCCACAACCCAAGCATGAAGGGGAATCGAACAGGCAACCTCCTGGTGCACATGATGCTGCTCAACCAACTTAGCCACGCCGGCCAGGGCAGTGCTGAGGATCTTGAGCAGTTTGACCACCTGGCTCATCAGAACATTAAATATAATGACAGCCAGGAGTGGAGTGGGAGGTCGGGTGACCTGCCCATCGCAGGGCCTCAGAACAGTGCCATCCTGCTTCCAAGGGTTACGCACATCCTGTGTAGCTGCTGACGGCAGTCCAGGTGTGGTCGTCTGACACATTCAGGATCAGCAAATGCATCTGATACCACCAGGCAGGCCTAGGTACACTCAATCCCAACTCATAATGTTCAAATTCAGTAAATCAATGAATTTCACCATATTAGATGTGCATATCAATGGAATGGCACTGAAAGGTGATGATAAACCACTCACTGCTGGAGACAAAGTAGAGAGGAAACCTAGAGGACCAGCACCATGCTGGGCATGGCCAGGGGAGAAGCTGCTGGGCCCAAGAAAACAGGGAGGGAAAAGTCACCATAAGCTGAGGGAAACCCAACATATACACACACACACACTTTTTTTTTTCTTCTCAAAAAAAACAGCACAGTCTCACAGACCAGTCAAAGCAGACCTGAGTAACCATCACCCTTCTCTCTAGGGCAGCAGCAGAAACACACAGGGCAGGGATTCATGTTTAACTGCTATCACCCTCCCTAACCTCAGCTATTCCCTGGCCCGGAGGGCGACCCTAGAATAGTGGTTCTGAGCCTTTGTGGGGGAGTTACAAATTCCTTTGAAGGAGGATATACATGTTCCCCAACCCACCCTAAGACCCCTAGTGTGCCTCAAACTGGAGACCTGCAGGTTAGCACGCTAACACCAGGGCAACTGCGAGGGTGAATTGACAGCCCACCAAACACCTGCACTGACAGGCCGTGCATAGGACGCTGGCAGCCAGAGATGACCAGAAACCCATCTGGGAAACAACCAGGCTTCAGTGAGTGTGAAAAAGGGGCAGGAAGAGGTGCTCTCTTATGAGGATTAAGCAAATCTCCTAGGAAATGAGGAGCCTGCCATTTCAACCCCAAGGGGCATCAAACCTCAAATGCACATCTGAATGTTTAGTAACTAGCTTTAAGGATGACAGGCAGTCTGAGAAATTCCTCTGGGAAGGTCCCAGTTACTATTTATATCTAGAATGAAATTAATTTGCCTATGCCAAAGAACATCCTGGTTTCCTGCCTCAGCTCCACATGGAAAGCACAGCTACTGGCTTGGCTATAAAGAGAAGACTGAGGTTTCACAAAAAAATTTCCCCCTATCTACATAAATACATTCTATAGAACTGCATAAAGGTTATTGTTAAAAGGTTCTGCTCTATCTAAAAGTAGCACCACTATCAGAGTGGGCGGAAGTTCTTAAAAGACATACGTACTGGGTGAAGACCGATGCAATCACTAAATACTGTGACACTGCATTCTAGCCTAGTTTTGGGAATTGTGACACCCTATCACCATGTTTTCATCTCCTCCCCTTTCTAATGGTACAATGTGGATTTTGGGTGAATATAGGTACAAAGTATTAATGGATTTCAATCCATTTTGAATTTAAAAAATCTGAAGCTTGGAATCAGGTTTTTAAAAAAGTTTTTTCAACTATAGTTGACATTTTCCCTATGAAGATACACAATCAACAGATATTTGAAAAAAACACTCTACATCACTAATCATCATAGAAATGCAAATCAAAACCACAATGAGGTATCTCCTCACACCTGTCAGAATGGCTATTACCCTAAACAAACAAACCAACCCTAACAAACAAAACGCCCAAACAAACCCAAGAAACAAGGGTTGGTGAGGCTGTAGAGAATGGAGAACCCTGCACTGCTGGTGAGAATGTAAACTGGTGCAGCCGCTATGTAAAACAGTATGTAGAGTCCTCAAGAAATTAAAAAATTAAAAATAAAACTACCATGTGACCCAGCCATCCAGTTCCATTTCTGGGTATACACCCAAAGGAAATGAAATCACTCGAAAGGTATATGCACTCCCATGTCCACTATAGCATTAGTCACAATAGCAAGGCATGGAAACCACTGGAGTGTCCATCAACAGATGAATGGATAAAAAAAAAAGTGGTATCTATATATTCAGTGGAATATTATTGGCCATGAAAAAGGACATCCTGCCATTTTCGACAACATGAATGGACCCTGAAGGCATTATGCTAAGTGAAATAAGCCAGGAAAAGACTCAATGTTCTCACTATATATTCTCATGTTGGAATCTAAAAACTCATAGAAACAGAGTAGAATGGTGGCTGCCATGTGCTAGGGGGTGGAGGAAATGAGATGTTAGTCAAGTAGTACAAATTTTCAGTTATAAAGTTAGTTCTGGGATCTAGCATATAGCATGGTGACTAGAGTTAACAATACTGTATTGTGTATATAAGTTGCAAAGAGAGTAGACCTTAAATCTTATCACCACACACAAAAAAGGTAATTATGTGAGGTGAAGCTGGTGTTAACTAATCCTAATGTGGTAATCATTCACAACACAAATGTATCAAATTATCACATTATACACCTTAAAATTACATATGTCGCCTGGCTGGGCGTGGCTCAGCGGTTGAGCATCGACCTAGGATCCAGGCGACAGGGGTTCGATTCCTGGTCAGGGTACATGCCCGGGGTTGCGGGCTTAATCCCCAGTCGGGGGTGTGCAGGAGGCAGCTGATCAATGACTCTCTCATCATTGATGTTTCTATCTCTCTCTCCCTCTCCTTTCCTCTCTCTGAAATCAATAAAGATATATTAAAAAAAAAAAATTACATATGTCAACTGTATCTAAATAAAGCTGGAAAAAATAAGAAGCCTCCCCTTAAAAAAAAAAAGAAAAAAAAAAAAGACCATGAACATCATCATGAAAGTTAAAGGAAAACCCACCGAATGGGGAGTATGCATTTGCAAACTAGCTATCTGATGAGGGACTTTGACAACTCAATAATGAAGACTACCAAATTTAAAAATGGGCAAAATATCTGAATAGATATTTTCCCAAAGGAGGTATGCATATGGCCAATAAGCACATGAAAAGATGCTCAACATCCTTAGATATCAGAGAAAAAGCAAATTAAACTACGAGATAGCATTTTATACCCACTAGGACGTCTATAATAAAAAAGATAAATAACAAGCATTAGCAAGGATGAGGAAGAAATTGGAACCCTCAGAAATTTCTGGTGGGAATGTAAAATACTGCAGCTACTTTGGAAAAGTCTAGAGTTCCTCAAAGGGTTAAACATAGTTACCACATGACCCAGCAATTCCACTCCTAGGTTTCTACCCAAGAGAAATGAAAACTATGTTCACACATAATCTTGTACATGAATGTTGATATTCATGATAGCCAAAAGGGAGAAATAACCCAAATGTCCATCAACGAACAATTAAGCAAAAGACCTTATATTATGATTCCATTTATATGGCATGTCCATGATAAGCAATCTAGAGACAGAAAGTAGATTAGTGGTTGCCAGGAGCTAGATGGGTATTTGAGGAAAATGGAGAGTGACTACTAATGGGTATAAGGTTTCTTTTTGGGGGACAAAGGTGTTTTAAAATTGTGGTGATGGCACCACAAGTCTATGAATGCTCTATAACCAATGAACATTTTAAATGGGTGTATTGCATCGTCTGTGAATCACATCTCAATAAAGTTGTAAAAAGCACACATAAAATTTCATCAAGTTCTATGATTTTCTAAAGAGCACCCCCGTCCTGCTCCAGTATTTAAATATGTTTAAAGAATAAAGAGCTGTGCGAAGCCTGAGCCTGCCTCACCCTTTGGGCCCTTGCTGTGGGGCATGTCCTCACTGCCCATGACAGCAGTCCAACTGGCAGCTCTCACGGAGCATCATGGAACCTGCCACACAGACAACAAGCTAAGTGGAGAGGCCAGCAGCCCACCTGGAGACTCAATATCCTGCATTCTAGCTGCTAGAGCACCACACTGTGGCCAGCAACAAACATGCACATCCTGTAATTCTTAATTCCTCTTCCCAAGCCTCAGGCGAACTGGAATCCAGGACTTTCCTGATTTAGGACAGGAAGAGGGTGGTGTACACAGTGCATGCTTCACAGCACACATGTACATAATGGGGCAGCAACTGCTAATCAAAACACATTATTATTTCTTCAGCAACTGACTTTGGGACTGTGGGCATGGGGCTGTGAGAAGGAGGCAGGGCCAAGACAGTGGAGCTCCTGGGGCCCCACAACCCAGCAGGAAGCCCAGTGAAGGGTGGCCTACCTTGGTGGCTGCGGGGAGCGGGGCTTTGGCTTCTCCTTTTCCTTCTCCCGCTCTTTCTCTCTGTCTCGATCTCTGTGCTGTCTGTCCTTCTCGTCCCGCTTGGCTCGCTCTCGCTCCCACTCCTCTTTCCTCCGCTGCCGCTCCTTGTCGCGCTCCCGCTCTCGCTCCCGCTCGCGCTCCCGCTGCCGGCGCTCACGCTCTCGGTCTCGCTCCCGTTCCCGCTCGCGCTCTCGCTGTCTGTTCTCTCGCTCTCTTTCCCTTTCCCGTTCCTTTGTTGAAAAGCCAAACACACACACACACACATCAGCTGCGATTTAAACACTTATGGAAAGTACAGAGAAAATGCAGAAAGCAAGCGAATGAAGAATAGGGAACACTCTGATGGTAATTTTGTTTCAGTTTCTCCTTAAAACACAATGTTAAAGAATGGATTACATGCCAAATTAGAGTGGAACACAACCTAAGAGTGAACTCTTCTAACCACTAATTCTGGACTAATCAGCATTCAAGGGTTAGTGTGAATTCTAGATGCCAGCGTATGAGTCGTCGGGCCTCCCAGGCCTCAGCTCTTCAAGTGTAGGGTGAAGACAACAGAGACTTCGCATAGGCTCAGGCCCAGGTGCCTAAAGCGCTCTGCTTAGTGGTGTCTGAAACAGTGAGCACCCCATAACGGTAGCTCTTGTTTTTCTAAGCATAATCCTTGAACACCTTTTTAAACTATTACTCTGTTTTCATTCATTTGCTCTAATATTCAAAGTTAAAAGTGAACAGTGCCTCAGCCGGGCATGGCTCAGCAGTTGAGTGTCGACCTAAGATCCAGGAGATTGCGGTTCGATTCCTGGTCAGGGCACATGCCCGGGTTGCGGGCTCCATCCCCAGTTGGGGGCGTGCGGGACGCAGCCGATCAATGACTCTCATCACTGATGTTTCTATCTCTCTCCCTCTCCCTTCCTCTCTCTGAAGTCAATAAAGATATATTAAAAAAAAAAAGTGAATAGTGCCCAGATCACAGCACACTGGCAGGTTTCAAGCTTTAGGTGGCCTGGGAAGAAATGAAGTACATACACTCCTGACCTTCATGCAGTCTGCCCCTCAGACACAGGCGGGAAATGTGATGGAAAGGGACTCCAGCAGGTCTCTGCTACTCTTCCAAGGCTGCTCTGTCTGGCTCGAGGCACCATATACCTATACTGTAGCCCAACCTCAGTGAGGAATCTGCCCTACTGGGTAGAGGGGCACAGATGGTCAACCAGGGTCCTTGTCTCTCCACAAGCTCACCATTTGATGGGTTTCTAGGGCAGTCATCTTCCTTTGGTCTTAAAAACGCATGACTGTCACATAAATCACAGCACAAAAACTACTCAACTACCTCTAACTGATCTTTTCCTAGTGGCAGCTTTCTCATATCACCCTAAAAGCATAAGATTAGGGACTCAAAGGCTGAAGCACATATATTCACAAATATTCTGAACTTTCAAGAGAAGTACCAATATAGACCGCTTCTCCATTAGACAAAGGCATGGCTGGTAGAGGCCCAAAGGAATGTACTTAATTGGTTAAGCATGACAATGATAAATATTACTAAGGACCCTGAAAAAGTAATACGCTTAAGCCCTGTTGAAAGCTTGTATCAATAACCCAATCAGCAAATCTAGAAAAAGAAAAAACAAGAAAAGCAAGAACATAGATAAACCCAAGGAAGTCTCTGTTCAAGTCACCACAAATTTAATCTGTGGACCTGAATTAGTTCTTCAGGCAATGGGCTAGAGTTAGTACACTGTGCCGGCATAATTAAGCTCACATAAAGTCCTATAAATAAAAAAAGTGGTTGATTTTAACAAATCCATCAGTGAAGTTCAGATCTGCAAATCTCAGTCCCACTTACCCGGTAATTGTGGTAAGGTTCTGTTTCTGTATATTGCACCCTGAAATTCTCATACTGCCCGCCACGCCAGAACCGGTCTATTTCATAGTCATAATAAGGATCTGCATAAGGCTCAAGTCTGAAAACAAAAACAAAAACAAATGAAAAGTAAATTTTTTCACTTAAAAAGAGTATTGCAAACATACTACGTAAAATTGTTAGCAAACAGAATGTAAGACCACATTAAGAAAATAATATAGCATGGCTAAATAGGATTTATTCCAGGAATGCAAAATTGAGTCAATATTAGGAAATTTATGAGCATGCCTCACATGATAAGAGACCTAAAGAGGAAAGTCGTAGGATTCCAACTACAGCTGAAGAAAATGTCTGTGACAAAAACTCAATACCTCTTCCTGATGAAAATACTCAAGGGAATAGAAAATAATGCTTTCTTAAGGTGGTAAAATATATGTGTATACACTCTAGAATAAAGCCAGGATCTTATTTCAGGGGGACAGGGGAGGTATTTCTGTGTGACTGGGACATGGCAGGGCAAGGAGGCCTGCTGCCTCCCCAATGACCTACCACTGTGCTGGAGGCACTGCCAATGCTACCAGACTAGAGCTGTCCAAGAGAAGCATAATGGGAAAAGGAGGAAAATGATCTCAATTTGCAAATTGAATGATGTTATGTCTGAAAAATCGAGACTCCACAATAAAGCCAATTCAAACAGCCAGAAAAACCCAGAAAGGCAGATGGAGAAAAATTAACATATAGAAACCAATGCCTTCATATACACAAATAAGGAGACAGAGGGTAGAGAAAACTTCATCTCAGTAAGAAGGAAGAAAAAATACTTAGAAACAAAATACATTTAACCAGAAATATGCAGAACCTATTAGAGGAAAACTTTTAAAACACTCTTGAAAAACACAAAAGTCATTGCCATCTCTAGTCATCTTCATGGCCTTCCGCTGGCTGCTTCTAGGAAATCTCTCCTCTGGTGTTTCCAGCAGAGATAACCCAAGGCTGGCTCTGCCAAATGACACAGCTCTTTTTCATCCCAAACAGCCAGACATCTTTCTAACAATCTAACCCTCACACCAATCAGATAATATTTAATGACATCAATCAGTAACTATGCACAGAAGCTTGCAGCTCTGTATCTCCTACAGAGAGAATAGAGTCCCTGAGGCATAGACTTTTCCTGTGACCTTAAAAATACAAAACCAACACAATACACAGCCAATGAAGACCCCAGAAAACACTTCCAAAAGGGTGCGAAGGTATGTGCTCTCTCAAAGGAGGGAGTGCAGACAAATTTGTTTTGGGAAAACTAATTAAGCAAAATGAAAGTGGCCTCTCCTGCAGGATTTCTCAGCCTCAGGATACCACGGACTGGGAAAGGGCATGCGGCATTCCCTTGGCCTGTTCCCTAAGAACCAAGCCTGGGCTGCCCACCAGCTCACAGGCCCTGGGTCTGCAGCAGTCCATAAAATGCTGTCATGAACTCAACCTGGCAATGACTGCCTCTTCAGACACAACCTCCAAGAATGAAAGCTGGCAAGGATGCATTCCTAGGCCCTGGGCAGGTAGCCTGACAGTGTTGCCCTGGTTTGCTAATAAGTTCTAAGAGCTACTGCTGATGGCCTTATTCCTTGAAGTTGACACCCTGTGCATTTTGGGGTCCCTTGTGTCCTCTGAATCACAGGCTCCTTCGGGACATAGTGGAGTACTCTCAGTACAGTGCCCCACAGCCCCATGCAGAAATGACATTTCTTAATGACTCATATGCATGAGGTCTTACAAGTCAGATGGTGTCTGAATAAAGTGTCCGAGGTGGTGGAAATAGAACTTTAAAAGCTATGAATTGAGGAGCTGTCCTTCTAGGGAGCCTGCTTATACCATTCTTTTCCCCCTCTCCTTCCCCCCCAAGCATGCATCTCCTAAACTCTAAGGTACCCAATGAGATTTGCAACCAGGGGAGCAGTAGGCAGTGGCAGCTCGTCCTGGGCTAACCCCCTGAATCTGTCTCCAAGGACCCTTCTCTCTGACTTCCTAGTGAGCCAAAGCAGCCCAGCCCAGGCTCTCCTGCTTCTTCTATGCCCTTCCTTGTTTCACTGTCCTAAGTGTGTTTTTGCTGCAGCCAATAAATTCTTGCTGCTTTTCTACGAAAAATAAAAATAATAAAAATAAAAGCTATGAATTGGGATGAGTCTGTCTAGAAAAGCATTACTTTTACTAAGTGATCCTGCTGGGTAAATTCTGTTTAATTCCAAATACAAGTATAAAGAGAAAAAACAATTTTCCTACCCTCTAGACCATCTCAGAATACTTCCTCAGGAATTCTTGAATGGGCAGCTTTCCCATGGGTTCTACAACCAAGTACCTAGCTTCACACGACCAGAACCAAACCACATTAAGGAAGTTCTACATGAACTTTTCAGTTCAGTTTTTCTATCCCTAAAACTCAGCATCAGGTCTGACAGCCTATGTCTCTGGAATTGAAATCAGTGCTTCTCACACTTTGGTGGGCATCAGAATCACCT